ACTCTGAAACTTGAACCTAGGGCCGGGTACATGTTACCCAGGCACACTACCACTAAGTTGAGTTCCTAGTCCTGATACTGGTAGGTATTTAGGAGGAGTTTTTGTACACTCACCCCCTCCACTGTCTGTGGTTTCATAGGGGTTTTCTGGAGCTCACCTCATTGACATGAACAGGTGTATCTGGAAAAGTTTGTCATCATAACTGTCACTTTGTTCTGGGGCTGCTGAAGGAGCCAGAGGCAAATGCCAAAACGAACAAAGCATATCCTCCTCATTCTGGTCAGCTAGGAGATCAGATACCAGGAGCTGTGGGTGCAAAGCAGAAATTCGCCATCAAACTATGACTCTTAGGGTACTGCATCTTCCAGTGGCAGCCCACGAAAAAGGAAATGGAGATAGGAAACTGCTTGTCTGTCTTCACTCTCGTTGCCTGGTTCATCTGGCCTGTTGCCGAGACGTTCCTTTGCTGATATTAGAACTTACTTCTTCAGGATTCCAACGTAGGCTCAAGACTGCAAGCTCTTTAGGAATTCCTCTACAGCCAGATTATCACTGTTGAGACATCCAGCCTTGCGGACTGAACAACTACTGGATCCTTGGCCTTTTCCATCAGGAGACAGCCATTGTTGGATTTCCCAGACCACAGCCTGTTAGCCAGTCTGATAAATCCCATACACATGAAAATAAATTAAAAATTTGTAAAGTGATTTGGAGAAATGACTTTTTGTTTAAGAGCTCTTGGCAGAGCTGGGCGGAGCTCTGTGAGTTTGAGGCCAGCCTGGTCCACAGAGCGAGATCCAGGGCAGGCACCAAAACTACACAGAGAAACCCTTGTCTCGGAAAACCAAAAAAAAAAAAAAAAAAAAAAGAGCTCTTGGCAGAGGACCCAGGCTTGATTTCTAGTACCCACATGGTAGTTCACAACCATCTATAGTTCCACTTTCAGAGGATCTAATGCTCTGTCTGCAGGCAGGCAGCAAATGCATGCATGCATGCTCGCACATATGCAAACACACACACACTTTCAGGTAAAACATTCATAAAATATAAATTGAATACAGTTTTTAAGTGATATCAGCTAAGAATTTAAAAATAAAACATGACTGTTAGCTTCCCTTCCTCCACTCCTTCTCCTCAGCTAGTACTTTGATACTTCCTGGGTCCCAGGCTGGATGCCAAACACACACACACACACACACACACACACACACACACACACACACACACACGTAGCCCTTCAGCAAGTTCCTAAGGGAGTTTTGGAGGAACGCTGTGACTCTGACAGAGGCAAGTGGAACCAAGACGGAGTAGGCATGTCAACTGTGCTGAAGACACACGTCTGTCAGTGAGTGGACACACACCGGGGGGTGCATCTTGACACACAACTCCTTCTGAGTGCTATCTTCAGGGTGCTACTTGTGTGGATCAGGCTACTATGTTTTCCCAAATCCTCCCCTCTGCCCTTGTTGGTACAGTCTTACCAGTTTTAGCTGGCCTGGAACTTGGGATCTTCTTGCCTCAGACTCCCAGGTGCTGGATTATATGCACACATCACCATAGCCAGCTTATTTTATTATTATTGTATGTGTGTTGTGTTCAGAACTTCCCTTCTATGTGGCAGCTTCTGAGTGTTGCTTCTGAGGTTTTTAGTGACAAAGCCCAGACTTTGCCAACCCAAAACACTGCTTGGCAAACCATCCCAACATGCCAATCATAGAGAAAAGTAATGTTGAAAAGTCAAGACACTTTTGTGTCCAGGGTCAAAGAACAGATAAGAGGCTTCATATGTTGCAGGTTCACCTTCAGGGTATAAGAACTTTAGGTTTAAATAGAGGAATCGCTGGATCAGCAGCACGAGGCACACACAACTAGACTGTCCTGGCCAGTGATTACAGATCTTTAGTAAGAGTGGAACCAGATATGAAACATTTGCTAGCCCCAAGATACACTCGTCTTAGTGCTTTAGGCTTGAGGAGGACTGAGGTTAGTGAATTAGTCATTTGTCTCGTTACTTTGACAAAGTACCTGGCAAAATTAACTTATGGGAGTAAGGATGTGTCTGACTCAGAGTTCCAGGGTACAGTCCATCATGGTGGGGAAAGCATGGCAGCAGGAATGGGAGGCATCTGGTCACACTGCATCCACTGTCAGGAAGCAGAGAGGCATAGATGCTGGTGCTGGCTGGATCTCATTTTTTATGCACCCCACAGTTAGGATGGGTCTTCCCACCTCAGTTAACCTAGATAATTAATCTGGATAATATTTCATGGACATGCCCAGAGTTTTGTCTCTATAGTCATTTTAAATCCCATCAAGTTGACAAGGCTAACCATCACAGATATCATAGTTTCTAGACACTCTGAGTGGCTTACATCCCCGCATGCAGAGGTCAGCAGGTGAAGCAAGGCAGAGAAGACAGGTACAGAATAAAGACAGATGCCAGGCTTCCATCCTGCTTTGGGCTACCTTGTAGTCTCCAGGAAGGGCCCCGTACTTTCCAGGCAAACACTGTCTTAAGTGCCTGTTACAAGGGGGTGTTGAAGGGAGCAGGCAAAAGCACCATGGCCTGAGCACTGCCATTTTACTTCAGACTCCTTTTTACCTATGGGGGAAATAAAGCTCAGGTTCCCAAGCCCCAGGGAAGCTGGGAACTTTCCAATGGCTGACCAACCTCCTCCCTAAACCATAGAAATAGTTGTTATGCATATTTACATCTCTAGAAAAGTTATAGCTGTTCCTAACAACAGAAAGCACAAATGAATCTGATTGGTTGAACTAAAAGGCATGTATTGTATGTTGGTTGCACACAAGAGAAGTCCCTAATCTTTGATCTCTGATTGGTGAAAATTGTAACTGTAACTTGGCAACAAATGTTTGTGAATTTTGTGTTTATAAACTCTACTTCTGTCCCTGCTCCCGGCTGTCAGGAGAAACAAGGCTCCTGAGTCCTTGTCCTGCAGCCCTGATTGATCAGTGACCTGCTTATGTGGTGATTTATTACAATCTTTGGAGCCCATAGGTGTTGTCTCTCTCCTTCCTTGTGGTGCATAGCAGGCCAGGTGTAACACTGTTTCTGTCATCTGATGTCTTTTCGGGGTTTCATTAAGGCTCACTGTCTCAGTTAGGGTTTCTATTGCTGTGATGAAACACCATGACCAAAAAGCAAGTTGGGGAGGAAAGAGTTTATTTGGCTTACACTTCCACATCACTGTTTATCACTGAAGGAAGTCAGGACAGGAACTCAGGCAGGACAAGAACCTGGTAGCAGCAGCCAATGCAGAGGCCATGGAGGGGTGCTGCTTATTGGCTTGATCTCCAAGATCTGCTTAGCCTGGTTTCTTGTAGAACCCAGGACCACCAGTCCAGGGATGATACCACCCACCATGGGCTGGGCCCTCCCACATCTATCACTAATTAAGAAAATGCCTTACAGCCAGATCTTATGGAAGAATTTTCTCAATTGAGGTTCCCTCATTTCAGAGAACTCCAGCTTGTGTCAAGTTGATATAAAACTAGCCAATCTGCTGTCGGGATATAAAATAAATGAAAAAAAAATTAATAAGAAAACTAGCCAAATTTCTTAGCGCCTCCCTTCCAGGTGACATTTACATACTCTTTTGTTTCCAGTTGCCTTTCCTGTCCACCAGTGAAAGTTCTGTCCTGCCACCGCCTTCGATGCTGCACTTAGCCAGCATCCTTTCTTGGGTAGCTGACACTGGATTCACACTGCCTCTGAGCCCGAGAACCTGACCTTGAGCATGCTGCACAAGTTCAACATGCTGGTGACATGAGGGCTGAAGAAAAGAAGTGAAGCCATCCAAAACATAATCCAAAGGAGTGGGCCACAAGGTTTCCCTCCATGACATCCTTGTTCTGCCTTCTCTGTTCTTGAATTCTAGCCCCTCCCTCCCCTTTTAAAAACAGGGTGTCACTATGTAGTTTTGCCTAGCCTAGAACTCACTATGTAAAACAGCCTGGCCTTGAACTTATAGAAATCTGCCTGCTTCTGCCCACTGAGTGCTGAGATTAAAGGTGTGCACCATCACATCGAGCTCTAGATTTCTCTTTTGATACCATGAACAACCCAATGCCCATTTCATTTTAACTTTGGACTTAAAGGGATTGTAATGGTTTTTGAATACTACCCGTGCAGATTCAAGTGTTAGAAACAATGAATAATCTCAATGGGCAAAGGAACACACAAACAAAGCAAAAATAACTTGGCAAGGTGAAGCGTTTATCTAATTACTCTTTATCAATAAAAAGTTTGGAGTTAGATATGGGGGTTAAGAACTGTGGAAGGCCAGCTGGGAGACTGGCTCCTACATTTTACTCTAGAGTACTCTTGAGAGAGGGATAAGAGATTTAGATAGAAGGATAGAGGGGAGAGAAACAGATAGAAACACAGGATAGCCTTGGGAGCGACTGGATCCTTATCCACTGGCCCCTCCTGGCTCTTCTAAAGGGCTATTTATAGGAATGCCAAGGTGTGGAGCAAAAGACCTCCCTCAGCACAGCCAAGTGCAGACCCTTCCAATCACGTAGAAACCATGCACATGGTCAATCAATCCTCTAATGCAGCTCTGCTGGGTAAAGCAAGCTCAGATTTCACTAAGAAACCTTTGTGGCCCTCTGAATGATCAGAGAATTGGCGGAGAAGTGACCAGTAACCTCCTTTCTCTCATTCCTCAATCCAGGAGGGCCCAGAGTCTTTCTAAGCCCTACCCTACTACTTCCTGTGTCTCTCTATATGTCCTTGGTCCTCCAGAACCTCTATGGTTAATTTTGGTCAGCTAGTAGCTAGCTCCACCCTCTGATTCAAAGCAAACTTTATTGGCAGTCTCGGTAGTGTCAGAGTACAATCAAAATATCCTACAACAGCAAGGCAAACCTTTTTTGTAAAAAGAGTATGCTAGAACCCAAACAAGGGTAGCAAGCACACTAGGGCCAACATGGCTCCTCTTTTATCGCTGATGTAAGTGATGACGAGATTTATCATATTGGTGGGAGCTTGATACACAGCCTGACACCTCCAATAACCTAACTAACTTCCACTAGAATGAACCTTCTAAAGCTTTCAACACTGTCCCTTTCACTGGGAGTGTCTGGGCTCCTGTTGCCCTTCATGTAGCTTTAATTAGTTCTGTCTTCTGTCAGTATTTAAATTGGACTGTTGATCTGATGGTTTCCTCCCTAAAAATATACAATCCTTCATCTAAATAAAACATGACTCTTAAAAACAAAGTAGCAACCTTAGATCTCTAGGGCCCTCTAAGACACACCCTAACCTGATGGTTGATGAGGCTCCAAGCAGGCTGAGCAGGAAACAACTTGGTTCTAAAGTGATCATTTTTTCCCCATTAATTTTAAATAGAATGAGATAAGAACCTTGAAAACAGGGGCTTTTTTTTTTTGGTTCGTTTGTTTTTGTTTTGGGAGGGAATGAGGAGAACAAAGGCAGCTAGGAAATAATTCGCATACCCTAATGCCACAGCTACAAATGAAAAATCATCATAAAAATGTAAGCTATTAGTCATTGGTCTTTTAGACTTAATAACATAGACCCACTTTTAAATAAAATGTATATAGAGCTAGGAAGGGTGGTGCATGCTTTTAATCCCAATACTTGGGATGGGGGTGAGTTCTGAGAGTTTGAGGCCTGCCTGGTCTACAAG